TAAAAGAAAAAATTAATTGGTAATTGTAAATTTTATTGTTTTTATTTTTTGTGTTTGAAATAATGGAGAAATGGAAGTTATTGTAATGGAAGTTAAAGAGGTAGTTATTAAAAAAAAAAAATTAAAAAAAAAAGAATGCATAGAATTACTCCATTCAAGGATTGGAGTATTGTGAGTGAAAGTTGAAAAAAAAACTCTACAATTATATATACACTAGAGTGTACCCGTGCAAAAAGCACGGGATTTTATTATATTAGAAGATATTAAATATATAATATAAGAAAAAATATATATTTAAATACGGAAAGTTGATATTGATGTTGTAATTTAAACCCTATTATTTTGAATTGAGCTGTTATGGACTTGTGGTTTGGTTTGCTTTGCTGAACCCTGCTTAGCTGTACTCTACTGAGTATTAATAATTTGCTGACACTTGTTCTGCCTTGCTAACCCTGCTCTGCGCTGATGAAATATGATGTTTAGAATTGTATTGAGTTCGGTTTGCGGTTTGAAAATTGTGGTGAGGTATTTGAAAATGATCAAATTACGGTTTGTGGTTTGGTGCGGTTTCCAATAAAATTTTGACCAAATTGCACTTTTATACTATAATATTCTATTAAAAAAAATTATAAATATATTTTTTTGTACTATATTTCTATTAAAAAAATTTATAAGAGAACTAAAATATATGAGCTAATCCTTGACTATTAGCTAATTAAAGCTTAAATTTTTTTTAATATTTTAATTATAAATTATTAATGACAAATTAGAATTAAAGTTTTGTATAAGAATTAAAGTTTTGTTTTTTAAAAAATAATTATAATTTAAATAATATGGTTAAACCACAAACCGCATGCACCACACCAAACTGCACCACAAACACCCTTATTGGTGTTCTTTGCTCTGTTGTAAAGCTCAAAAGAATTACTCGGTTAATGTCATAGGGGTTATTCCATCAATGCTTTAGGAGTTACTTTGTTCTTTGCAAACAGTTATTCGGTGCCAGTCACGCAAAAAGCGTGATGTATGTACATTTTTTTTTTGTTTTGATTTTGATTAGAGAAGTTGAAGTTTTTTAGAAAGTGTCCTTAAAAAAATGCATATAAATGAAGGGTTGAGAATTTTGAGTGCTATGGTGAATTGTTGATAAAGAAATTGTATACCCGTGCTAATTCATAGCATATTTTATACTAAATAAATAAAATAAATAATAAATAATAAAAAAAAACCACACACACACAAAAAAAATGTTAGTAGTGGTTTGAACAAAAAGAAATGTTATTTTAACAGTCCCATGAAAAAATACAAAACAAAAAAAAGAAAAAGAAAAAAATGGGATGGGTAGTTATTTTGTGAAAGTTAAATTAAATATAAATAAATAAAGTAATGAATGGGTAGTTATTGTTTTTTTACAAAAAAAAAATAAAAATAAATAAATAAATAAAACAAATGCATGAGAATTTAGTATTGGGGTTTTGGAGGCTTCACGTTAAAACTGACTCTACAATTATATATTAGATATAAGATAATCATTTTTTATTAGTATTTTTTTTTTCTTAAAAAACCTATATACATTTAAGATGATCAAGGTTTTGACATTGGTATTTAAAATTTCTAATAATTGCATTTTTTTTCCTAATAGCTCTTAATAGCTTTTTTTTCGTAAAAAAAAATCTATATAAGAATCGCCCCCCCCCCCAGTTCTTAAATTCCTGGTTTCACCCATGCTTGTTGTAATAAGTGATCTAAATTAAAAAAAACCCTAACAACCACTACTCCCCTACGCCACTGCCAAACGCTAGGGTCAAACCCCAGCCCGTCGGAAAATGACCGTCCATCTTGCTTGCCCCTCGAAAACGGACGGACGACAACTCCCAACACCAAAAACTAACCACCTTATGCGGCCCACTCTCACCCCAAACCACCTATCCTCCCTCGATATTAACCTTCCCCATTCGACCAACGTTGAAATCAACCTCCTCCACTGTAAAAAACGACCCCTTTTTCCCCAACCCCCGAATTGGGCTCCCTGACCGGGTTCGAGGGTGTGGGAAGGGAAGAGGAGCAACATTGATTATTTATTTTATTTTATTTTATTTTATTTTTTGGTTTTAGTTTTCCGACGAAAGAGGAGGGCAGGGAGGGGAGTGGTTTAGAGGGTTCGGGTGGATCGGATACTGTGAGTTTTGGGGGTTGGAAGGGTCGACTGCCATTTTCGGGGGGGGGGGTAAGGGAGGTGGCCGTTGGACTGTGTGGGGTGGCTGGGGTTTCATGGTGCCATGGTGAGTTGGGTTGCCTGAACGGTTTCTGATTTTATTTTTTCTTTTTTCTTTTTTTCAATATTTAGGCCAATCATGTGCTGACATGTGGCATTTAATATATAAAAAAAAAAAAATTACCCTTTGAACAGGTATGTAGTCGGTTTTTGGGACATTAGAAGGAAATCGACAATAGTTGGGATTATTAAAGTGTATTTTTCCTAAAAAATAGTCACCTTATTTTTTATAAAAAATAACTGGCAATAAGAGATATAGTTGGGACGGACACGGGCCGAAAGTTATAAAATGTGCCTAATGGGCTAGATAAAAGAAGTTCGGCCCTGAAAACGAGCCTAAAAAGCTACTCTTACTCGCCCTGTTAAAAAAGAACGGGTAGTCCACGTGCTAACGAGTTTGTTTACTAATTTTTTTTTTGGGTTTTTTAACATTATAATTCTATAACTTTGCATTTTCTACGATGTGCCCCCGACCCTTTTCAGAAATCCACCGTATAACCCCAAAATACATATAGTTTCTAAACGAAAACCTTGTCGTTATCCCACCGTTAACAAATTCCATTAACGAGGACCACGCACTCTCCACTTAATAATATTTTTTTTATCGATCTACATGTTGAAAATTGTTCCGTTAAAGAATTTGGGGGCTTTTGCTTGTCCTTAAAGTTCCAAATTGAGCTCAGATTTGACAAAAAAATAACATAAATGCCTTATTTTGCGTATTAAATAATACGTAAATATGCAAATCGAGATATTTCTTACTACGCAAATAGAGGTGTTTACGTGTATTTTTTTCCAAAATTTTATCATTCATCATCGATCCGTAAGTTTATTTTATAATTTTATTAAGCATTGAAAACACAACTCAAAATATATAGTAAAAATAAAAAACACAATAACGTACTTTTAATAAGTATCCTAAATATTTGGAAAATTTGTCAAAAATAACACCACCTTTCACCGGTCTTCCAAGAATAGAACAATATTTTGATTATTTCAAAATAAACGACATTTAACACACATCTGCCAAAAATGAAACAAAAAACCTGTAACCTGTTTTATAGGTTGCATTTGCCACATGTCACATGTTGATAGGTTAAAATAATTAAATTTTATTTTATCATTTTAATTACTTTAATAATAATGATTTTAAAAAAAAATTAAATCAAAATAAATATTTTTAAAAAAATTAAAACCAAAGAAAACTGAAATAATAAAAAATATCCCCTGCCGTCACCGACAACCACCGCCGCGTCCTCCACATTACCGCCGACAGCCAGAGCCTTTTTTCGGCGCCGGAAGAACCCTCCAGATCTCGACCACCAAGCCACTGGCACAAGAAATGAGACTTTTGGGGTTTGGTTTGATTTTGAACCCTAAAACCACCACTCGATTTTCGGGTTTTAGATCGGGTGGTGATTCAAGGGGGGGAAGGGGGTGGAGACGGCCGTAGGAGGGCCGATATTGGTTCGCCCGCATAGTGTAGGCGGTTTGGGCGGCGGCCGGTGGAGGGAGAAGGGTTTTCGAGGTGAGGGATGAGGGTTTTCCAGGTGAGGGAGGAAGGTTTTAGGGTGGGAGGAAGGAGGACGGTGTTTGAGGAACGGTACCGCCGGTTCCGGGGAAGGGGGTTTTGGTCACCGGCGGTTATGGGGTGGCCCAACGGTGGGGGTGCTGCCGGCAAGGGGAGGGAGTGTTTTTTTTTTATTTTATTTGTAATCTCATTGTTTTTTTTTTAATTTTAAGTTTTTTTTAAAAAAAATTTTAAGGTTATTTTTTTAAAAGAAATTGTTAAAAAAAAATGACTAATGACATTGTGGCACGTGTCACTAGTAACCTATTTAACAGGTTACCAATCGGTTACGTTTCATTTTTGGCAGATGTGTATCAAAAGTCGTTTTATTTTAGAATAATCTAAAGTTCGTTTCATTTTTGGAAGACCGGTGAAAGGTGATGTTATTTTTGACAAATTTTCCTAAATATTTTAATAAGAAACTTAGCACACACCAAGGCCTTATTCCGAGGAAGTTATTTCACTCATGCAACTCCTAGGAAATTAATCTAATTGTTTGGTAGATAAAAAAAGAAATTACAATTTATGGGAATTTTGATTGACCTAGGAGACTTAGGTAATTTAATTCCTAGGAACTTTCAATTCCCATGAATTCCAACTTCCTCCATTTTGCGCTTTAATTTGTTAACCAAACAATGTACCTTCATCAATTTTGCATCTTCTAAAACTTTGAGTGCCCATGGAAAATTACTGTAACTTAACAAACTTATTAACTCTTCTGATCAAACTTGTAATTCGGGTGTTATAACACCACTTTTGAACCCACCTTAGTCTATGGTGGTGTTAGTTGTAATTAGGCCAAGGCCTGTAAACAGTCTGTCACTCATGGTTATTATTATTAGCTAATCTATGAAAGAAGCTTTTATTTATTTGAGAGAAATTTACATAGAAAATAAACCTCATTTAACTTGCTGCTAAATTGTACGGACGTATATACTGTTTGAGTATTTTACATGTTTGAGTATATACTGCTAAATTGTACGGACGTATATAACGAACTCCTTGGACACATAAACAGCTCTCTACAAAATGTATATTCATTCCATAGTCGATTTGGCCTTGGATTAAGTTTAGCATAAAGAGAAGAAACACAAAGTTGTTTCAAAGCAGATGCGGAACTTAAAATGTTCTTAAGCAAATTCATCTCTACCACATTCAGACATTAATGCTTTTGAGATTAGCCGACCAAAAACTGGGTAATTGAGGTCTCCAATTATTATCAACGAAATCCACATCAGATTCGCCACAGTTGAGATGGAGATAAACTAGGTTATGATAGATTGGCAGGCCATTAATACCAGCAACAAAATCTAACAGACTAATTGTTATACCACAATCACCTACTAATACTAGGTTCCGAACACAAGAAATCCCTCGAAATAGCCCTTGTCTTGTGTTAACAAAAACATGATCAATTATAAATCCATCAATTTTTTGCAAGATAAATATGACATGTCGTAAATTAGTTGGATTCGTGACAAAGTCATAAACCGCTAGAAGTCCTCTAACCTCGAATCGTTCCAGTTTAGGAGCATTAACCACAAACTTGGTGTGAATAGACAGCAACGATGATTCTTCCAAATTGATATCCAAATCCTTTAAGTTCGGGGCAGATATATGTATAAGGTGATCAAGTTCGTTTAAACGAAGAGACAATAATAAATGCTCTAGTAAAGGGCAAGACCTAAAAAGAGTATCCATAACACAACGTTGTGAGTCGAATAAATTCATGTGGAGCTTCTTTAAATTAGGGAGATTAACTTGGAGATTATCCTTAGGAAAGTTAAGCTCAACATTTGCAATTAATTTCAGTGTAACAAGTGATTGAGTTTGAAGAAAACTAACGGGTAAATGTGGCAATCGAATAGTATTCGAGTCGTGAAAAGTTACTATGATTGCCTCCGGGTTACGATGCGACACAAGCTCAATCCAGGGAACAATACAGGCTATGCAGTCCCTTAACTCCGAGTAAAAGGTCGTCGTGTCATCAGTTTGTTGTTCTTGTAAAAGGGTGTTAGGGAAAGGGAAATTAAGGCGAAAGGTGTGGAGTTTGGAGGAGGAGAGCTGGAAGAGAATGTGATTGACGGTATTCTTGAAACCCCGGAAACTACGAAATGGTTTCCTGCACATCCTACCCATACATGGTTCAAAGGAGATGTGGGTGATTTGGGTCCAGAGATAGCGCCAACGGTGGGATAAGACGGAGGTGGCAGCCGCGGAGTGGATTGGAACAAGAGAGAGTATGGTGATCAGAAGACTATCAGGAAGGAAGCTTAATCTATCTGTTTCACTTGTATAATCATGCTTAATGCTCATGATTTCGGGCTTATTCCAATACATGACCGGCATAATCTTCTTCTTACTAGGGGGCATCGTGGAGACGAATTATTGATGTTTAGGGTTTCAATCAAATAGATAACTGTATATATATTTATATTTAAAAAGATAAAGATTAAAAGCTTAATTAAGATTTACAATAAACGTCGCCCTATCTAACTAACGCCCGCAAAATAAAATAAAATTATAAATTTACCCTTATTTTAGAAAAAAAAAAAAAAAAATTACTCCCGTCAAACAAAATTTGATACTGGTCTCCAAAGGTTCAAGCCTTTTCCAGATTGACATACACTATCAAGTGCACTATCAAGTGGTGATACAAATCAACATTCAATCCCAGCTTATATATTTACAACACAATGAATTAATCTCACACAACAATAGATTTTTAGTGCTTAATATAATTCAATATCAAACATAATCAAAACTAACGCCTAACTATAATTAAATTTGTATATCGTAATACTACCAAGATTAACATCATAGATTAATCGCATGGTTTACATCATAGATTAATTGTTAGTTTGTCAATGGTATTTTTGAGTCTACCCTTGATTTACATCATACTGTAGATTAATTCGTAAGTCATCATAGATTCCAGTAGACATTATAAAGGAAAATTCCCTGTTTCTCGTGATGAGAAACGAAATTTATTTCTCATAGGGACATTTTTGTGAATAAATCAACAACTTTTTCTTTATTGTGGGCTCCACATTTGATGGTATTTTTCTTTATAGATTAGTATTAAAATGCGGTCAAATTTTAGTCAAATTGTTAAATCAGATCAGACCAAACCAGATCAGAAAAATTCAGATCATATCTTAAAAAATTCAGACCAGATCTACTTGTTTCATGTGAAGAGAACAAGTCCGGAGTACAACTTTTTCAATGATGGGTCTATCAAATTGAAAGGACCATGAAATTGATTTCCATCTAATATAATTGATCCAATGGAATCCTAGTTTTGTATACCCATGATAGAAAAAAAAGATAAGGGTGAGAGGTTACATGGGGAAACAGAACTTACATGGATTAGTAATCTAAAATGTGGAGTATGAAGTATCCTCTATACTAACTACTTTATTCATTCTTTTTAACTTTACCTTTTTCATTTATCACACCGTAATTTTACCAAAAAATTTCACTTTAGATTGCCCACCTCCTCATTTTAGTATTGAGTTATTTAGACAAGTCTATTTATAAGTTACTCAATCTCAATTCACAATGATAGTACTTTGTAGATTAATTACTCAATTATATTATACTCCATATGTAGCTACGTCTAGGATTTTAATTTAATTAAAGTTATAAACATGTGAGAATCAAACGGAGTGAACACGTCCTTACTTTTCCTTAAAATCCATCATTTTCAAAATTGTCATTGTTAAATTAATATGGAGTATTAGGTTCTGGACTGCTACTAGTTGAATTGGTATAACTGTGTTTGAAAAATCAGCAGCGTATGCAACAGGGTACACCAGACTCCATGAACCTTCGTTGAACTGCTGACTTCATCAATTGAAGGCCGTACTTGGTGGTTACTAAGTCCTGGTGACCGTTGACTCTTTTTCTATACTCCTCTTTACAAGTTGTGCCTTGTGGAAAACTCTTTCACAATTTATGCATAACATAATTTTTTTATAACGTTTACAACAACAAATGAAATATGGGATTGGTTTCCTCCATCGCGTGAAAATTACTCTCTTCGTTTCAATTTGTTAGTGTCATATATTATTTGTGTGTTTTAAAAATATCTATCCATATAATATTGAGTGTGTTCCACTTTTAACTTAGTTTTTATTTCCTATTTTATACATATTAAATTCTGATTGGTTATTTTATACATACATACATACATACATACATACATACATACATACATACATACATACATACATATATATATATATATATATATATATATATATATATATATATATATATATATATATATATATATATATATATATATATATACACACGGAGTGAGGACAAAGTCCAAGAAAAGAACAAATAAAAAGCAGAAGGAAAACAAACAACAAAATAAACAACCTACTATACGGAGGGACTAGACAAGGTAAAGCTACGCCTCTAAAATTCTACTAAGCTCTAACGGAACGGACTAAAATAATAAAATTTGTGTCTAAAAAACTCCGCGATTGGCCAACCAATTCGTCGCGCGGCTGCCTGCTGCCTTCCCTATAGGTATGAGCAACTTTGACTATCCAAGAAACATCTTTGAGCTTTGTATGGCAGTAATTGATCTCATGAGCGCATTCCCCTCTTCCAGCCTCTTCCTGCTTAAGGATTTGAATACATGCCAAATTGTCTAGCTGGATTTCGAGTTGTTGAATTTGGAGATTGCGAGCTAAGTCTAAGCCACGCACAAGAGCTAGCATTTCAGCTCTAAAAGCATAGCAATGACCAAAATTTGCTGCGAATGTTGTGACAAAACGTTCCATGTGGTCACAAATATTACCACCCCCACCTGCAGCACCTGGCAACCTTTCGCAGCTCCATCACAGTCTAGCACATATACCAGCCATTGTTTGGTGCTTTCCACGTTACATGAATCTGCTTTTTCGGGGTATTATGTACCGGATTATGTAGATTAGCATTGCATCTTCTAGCTTCATCATAACGCACTTGGAGAAAGGCACCAATATCAATAGGAATTTCATGTTGAAGATTGAAAACCATACAATTTCTCCAACACCATATCCACCAAACAATCGTGCCAAAATAAGTAGCCCAGCATTCCGATTCATTTGTGTCTCCACTTGTGATGTTACTTGTAATCCATTCTTTCAAATTGCGTTGGAAGAAAAGAGCAAACACTTGAGGACTCAAAATCTTGCACCAAACCCTTTTTGCTGCGGGACAATCTCGAAGAATATGTAAAGTACTCTCCTCATACACATCACATATAAGACATCTTAGACTTTCTGCAATTTGACGCTTGAATCAATTGAGATTACTGAGAATCCTATCACTGGAAACCAGCCAAAGGAAAGCTCAAATGCTGGACTAAAATAATTCGATAAAATAGATAAAGTTGAAAAGCTGGACTAATATTTGAAGCGTAACGCAATTGGGTCTGATACTTACAAAGTAGATAAAGTTGAAAAGTTGTACCAAACATTCTCGATCAACTAAATCGCGCTGAGGATATCTAGAGTAGAATGGCACGTCGAGGCTTGATCTCTTCCACGAGTGATATTTTAGAGTAGAATGGCACGTCGAATGCTTGTTGTCCTTCTTCTAAGTTTTGAGAGGATTTCTTGGGAGAAGTTAAGAGTATTTGATGAGAGGTTTTCTAGTAAGGTTTTGAACATTTAAGAGATTTTCTCTATATTTTGATTCTCTAATAACTCCACTTTTTACGGTCTTACATCTTATTGTATTTTAATACTCCAAGATTCCAAATACTCCAAAATTCTCGCTATATTCTTTGTTCTTAAGTATCTTTTTCCTTTTTCCTCTCATTTACCAATTGCTGAAATGACTCACCTTCCTCTCTTATTTTGGCCCCTTGGATATATATTACCCTGAAAAAGAACGAACAATATTTTTCTAGAACACATAAAAGGCAAAACCCCTAAAACGAATTGCAACGACTATGTTTAATATTTCAAAACAGACGGTGCAGCAACAACATTACGATGATAACTATCAGCTTGTTCAATTGCATCAATTAGGTTTCTTTCGATATCTTGATCATGATAACCATCTTCAAACACCTTTATTTTTCGGTTTTCTATCATTAATTTTTGGCGTAACAAACTATTATTACCTATGTGTCGGTTTTTTATTGAAAAGTTTCCCGCCAAAACTATAATTGAAATCATCCTTTTTTTGTAGTGTGTTGCTCATATAATACGTACGTGATCATATAATAATATAAAAAAGTGATATAAAATTATTATTAATTTATCATCATCAATAATTATATGTGTCAATGCCTAATATAATATATACGTAGCTTCATGTAATTTGTTAATTTATCAATAATTAAAATATAATTAATTTAATTTAATTTGAACCCATTTATATAAAATTTTAGATATGCCATTGTTAGGCACTTTGGGAGTGGGGGAGGGTAAGGTAAATCGCACCCACTAATAATAATGATCGTAAATTAATATTTTATCAACTATATTTAATTATTTACATTTTACTTTTTTGTGAAATCAGTAAGCATGATAATCTATTGATGTTTTTTTTTTTCTCCAAAAGAACTTCTCATAATGTTTTTTCGTACATTTAAAAAAATCTTTAAGTGAGTTCATTTTAAATGATTAAGAAATTTCCAAGAAACAGAAACAACCAATCCATTGGCTTCTTTTCTTTGTCAATGTATCGCAATTCAAGTACTTTTGTAAACGTGCAAAAGTTCTTAGCAAGCAATTTAATACATCTAAAAACGATTACTTAATTATTGTGGTTTCAAGAATTAATATAAATAACCTCAGCTAGTATTTTCAAGATTGGTCATTCATCATATATTCATAGGTCAATCTAAGCTAATCTTTTCAACGACGCCCTTTTTAGATTCTGCATTAATATGAAAACTTTTAGAAATCCTGGCTCAATGAAAATATGAGATTCATTAGACTATATCCAATGGTGAGATCAACTTTGAGAATTGAAATACAAAATGAGTTGTTTTTTACTTCCAGTGGTGATACCCAACCCACTTTCAATTTAACAACTCATGTGAAGTCTAATTTCCCAATTGTGAGACTTTATAAAGTAAACTAATGTCACATTCAATTATGGCCCACCAAATCATATTATAAGTTTTTTTTGGAAAAAAGTAATTAAATTAAAACTTAAATAAATTACAAAACATATTATAATATTGATAAGGGCCTACACTTTTTGTCAAATTAGACTCAAAGTTGAGGGGAAATGATTTTGACACACCCTTAATTGATTTAGGCACACCCCTATGTGAGAGCACGGTTTTCTATGCCTTTCTCACAAAGGGGTGTGCCAAAATCAAATAAGGGTGTGTAAAAATCATTTTCCAAAGTTGAGTATCTAAACTTAGAACCTTTCTTTTGGAGTCGCTAAGTTTAGATACCAACTTATTGCTATCCTTTTTTGGCTCGAACATATTCACATCGCAGCGGCCTTTGCAATATTTAGCTCAGAGAACTCTGGCCCACAACGTTTGAGGTTCAGCCAAGACACACCATCCTAATTTAGTGAGGAAAGCAGCGTTGGATTGCCTGGCCGAATGAATATCCAAACCCCTAGTTCTTTTGGTCGTTAGAGTACCTCTCATGAGATAAGATGAATTTTCTTTCGATCCTCATTGCCACCCCAAATAAACCTCCTTGTTTTTTTTGTGAATTGACGACATGTGAATTTTCTAGAATATCGTTGATACAAGAATGATGGAGGGATTTCTGGAATATTCCGACCATTTCATCCAAGCACCCCACCTATAAATATAGGTCATGGCAGTGGCGGTCCCTGGCGGATGTAGGATATTTAAGGTGGAGGGGCACTAAATAAAAAATAAATAAATAAAATGCTTGTATAAAGACTTGAACCCTAGACTTTTCACCAAACTCAATGCATTACCACTATAACAAAGCTAATTTGATATTATTTATTGCATTAAAATTGTATTTAACCTATTAATTTACAACTTTAACTTAATAAATTAATAAAAAAAATGGGGGGGTCGGTGCCACCCAGGCCCCCTTAATAGTTCCGCCACTGGTCATGGGCATTCAATCATTCTTCTAACACACATAATTTAAGAAGCCATACCATACACTAGCCTTCCTACTACATACGTACTACGCCTCCTTGTATTATTACTTTGTAATACTCCTTTGCGAGTTCCTATAGTGAGAATTCTCTTGTAATATCACCCGTTCAAGGGTTCTTGTCGTATCTCCTATCTTTCATATATTGGATTTATGTTTTTACGCTCGTCATTCATGGGCTATTTTTTATCATTTTTCTCACGTTAAATATTGTGTGTACATTTTTAATATTTATCTTGCCTTTATCTTTCTTCTAGTTATCTAATCAATCAATACATCTTTAATTTGCTTCCGCAGTTTACACACCAACCCTAACAACTTCATTCTTTATTTGAAACTTTAAGAAAATTATGATCGGATCCGCGATATACTAAGTCTTGATCGGCGTTCAAAAATGTCCTGGATTAATTCGAGGCATAAAGTCAAGTGTGAATTTTGCAAAGTTGCTGGTAATAACTGTGTTCCCGTCATTTCTGCCGCAAATATTTCGATAAAGTAGATAAAACGCAATTAGGTTTGATACGTAAATAAAGTTGAAAAGTTGTACCAAAACATTCTCAATCAACTAAATCTTGGATCTTCATATGATCTTTGTTTTTTCATAAATCTTGGATCTTCATTACTTAGTACATATTGGATCGATCATCATATTAGATTCTTGGCTCTTACAATTGATGTACTCATTTTGTTTGTCATTGATAAAAATTTGTTGTCTATAAGTTAGTTGATTTTTGAAAGAACACATATGGAGGTTATTTTCAACACAAAATTAAACGGTTAGTTAGTTTTTTAGGTTAGTTATTTCCAAACCATATCTTGATCATTCCGTTACAACTTTTAAAGAAATGTGGTTATTAAGATAATGTTGGTTGATGATAATAATAATCTATATATATTATACTAAAATATCATATAAATCTTATTGTTCCAGTTTATCAAGTTTTGGTTTTTCCAACGAAAATCAAATTGCCAACTTAAACCTCATGAACCCTTGTTTCGTTCAAGATTGGTGATGATAATAAATCTCTCTTCTTTGATTCAATTCAAGCATGGATTATACTATAATTTTTTACTATATCGATTTGATTCGATTACCCTCAAAATAATGAATGATAAAAGTTAAAATTTGTTGAATTTCTCATTTTGGTATTTAGTACTTTTTCAATTTTTTTAATTGTTTTTTTTTTGGTAAATAAAGTACATGTAGAAATTATGCTAATAAGAATTCCCTTCAAAAGGAAGGGTTCCTAAATCTTAATGTTTTCTTTTTTCTTACCCTTTTAAAAAAAATACAATATAAAGAAGATACACAATATCGTATTACACACCTAATTTACATAATTCATAGAAATGTAAACTATACATACTACATACACTATTTAAAAATTATAATTCGAATATAAAAGGAACCTGGTAGATAAATATATAATATTATCCCGTGTTGTGGAAAAGTCCTACAATAACCAAATGAGCCATGGTAGAGGCAATAATAGTGGTAGGATCTCCAAGCAGAATGGAGAAAACAGTTCCTACAAAAAGCTTGAGGATTCTCAACCATTTGTTGCTTTTAGAAATTTTCTTGGACTTAGTTTTAATAGGCAGCTCATTTCCTTTTCCTTGCAATGTTAAAGACATGGTTTTCCCAAAAACTTCATTAGAAGAAGAGCCTTGCATGGCCATTTCCATCACACAATAGACATGGAAATTGTAGTCATGATCCTCTTCGGATACATTTGACCAACCTGGAATCTTCTTAACAGCACCTACAATTAAGTAATAAAAAAAATTAATTAAATTTAATTAATAAACTAATTAATTAATTGAGCTACATACATGGACGGTGATGTACGTGTACAATAGTCAATAGGCCAAGTTTATTTTATATGTTACGTTTTGATTTTACACAAATCATTTTATAGTTCAAAATAATTATCGACTCATCACTTAGTAAAACTTCTTACCCTTATCATCACTTAGTATATTTAGAGGTTTGAGGTTCGAATCTTGCCAAATAAAGTTACTTAAGGATGGGATCCCTCAACCGGTAAATGTTAGACCAAAATAAAAACTATGAGGGTTAATCGAGGTCTACATTAAAGTGCTTCTTCTTACCATAAAAAATTAAATAATTATAATAGGGTGGAATCCCTCAAACTGTAAAAATATTGGACCAAAATAAAAAAAAGTATGAGGGTTAATTAAGGTTTACCTTAAAGTGTTTCTTCTTACCATTAAAAAATTAAATAATTATAATGTAATACTACAATCCATGCTCAATTAAAAGATATGTGAGAGTTGAGGCTTGGTGAAATTAAATCACAACATAAAAGTCAATGCAAAATCTCAAAAAGAGACTAGCTTAGGACATGTACTTTGACACGGAGAAATTAGTAATATACCAATTATACTTGCTATCTTATTAATTTGATTAATAAAATTAAATACGAGATTCCTACAACAAAATTTTAATAAAAATAAATAAATAAATAATAAAATAAAATAAAATAAAAATCCAACTAGTATGGTTAGAAAACTGACCTTTGACCAACTTCCTTTTGCACCACGCACAACTAGATGTTCCTTGCTTCTCAAGCCTAAATGTGACATCTTCAATTTTAATTTCATTCTCCAAATTAACGCATGTAGGATGAAAATCCCGATCTGTCTCATAGCTATGGTAGACGAAGCCCATAATTGTCATTCCACACGCATCACAGCTCCGGCACTTGGTGCAATCAACCTTCTTGCAGTGCACCCCACGGCGAGGTTTTTTCAAGAAAATGACATGTTTGCCCTTGAATTGTTGTTGTAAGGGGTGCAAACATGCATTTAGGGTGTAAACTAAAGTTGCATCGTTCACATTTATGTCTTTGCCCTATGCCTTTGGTTTTACACCCGTCACATGTGTACACCCTTGGTCTATCGACTATCTCAAGAGGGTGTTTTAGGTGGCTCCAATGAGTCGTCATGGTTCAACTAAAATTTTATCTAGTAACAAGAAATGAAAGAAATTAAATTCAATTACGTGAACAAAAATAGTGACAAAATAAAATCTCTTACAAAAGAATATACATGCATGCAGTTACCTTAATTAATCTTGACGATGTATGAGTGTTGGTTATCCTTGATGATTTGTAGAGTTCTATAAAAGAATAGATGATAATTAATTAGCAAATACATACGTAACTTGACAAATGAAAATGGAAATTAATTGACAACAAAAACAGAAATATATGAATAAATGAATAAAACAAACCTTTAGTATTTCTGAAATTGCAACCAAGAGTTGAGTCTTGTTGATTTGAATGTGATTTTTATTTTCTCTAATGGAAGTTGATTTGAATGTGTTCAATGATGTTGCCCTATGGCTATATATATAATATATACACGCTATCGTTAACAATGTAAGTATGTATACGGTTCAAAATTTAATGGACCCCTTAATTAACATATAAAATTATATGGACCCTCACTTATATTACCTAGATGTATCACATATAAATTTTAAAGATTATACTTGTAATAAATAATAAGTATTAGTTTAATTAATGACGTATACTTTCTATAAAAAAAATAAAATAAAAAGACTTAATGACACGTACTTTAGGTTATGTTAGCGTAGTCAAATACATTTTGTTTTATATATTGATGGATTAATGCCTTGATTCTTGGTTGTTAAGTATATGCATGAAGAGAGAATATTCGGAACAATAAAGTGCCACCAAATCTTGGTCTTCTAACTCTGTCTCAGCTCACTTCTTAATTTATTTACTTTTTTAGTCATTTCTAGATTCTTTTAATAAAATTCAATGCTAATAACGTCTCAAATTAAGCATATACAAGGCAGATGGTACGAGGAACCATGATATACATTTCGGCAATTTTTATTTTCGGGCGAAAAAAAAGTCAAAAAATTCCAAAATTGAAGGCAATCCACGATTTTTGAGAATTTTTGGAGGTTTCGGGGCCCGTTGTCAAAAAGTCTTGAGATTTTAGGGGATACATCTCGGGGTCATATAATGTCGTTTGGAACTATATATGATCATTATATGTTGTCATAAATGTTCGTTGTTGTAGACTTGAGTTAATGAATTCCGATGAAGTTGTAAACCGGTAAATTGGTCGTTTAAAGACAAATTGGATGGTTCCACCCACCCAATTGGATTCCCAGAGGGTATTAGGGACCATGGTAAACATTTTGGCAATTTTTATTTCCGGGCAAAAAAAAGTAAAAAATTTCCAAAATTGAAGGCTAATATCCACGCTTTGTGAGAAATTTTGGAGGTTTCAGGCCCGTTTTCAAAAGCCTTAAGATTTTAGGGGATAAATATTGGGGTCATATAATGCCGTTTGGAACCATATATGATCATTATATGTTGTCATGTTCGTGGTAGGCTTGAATTAATGAAATCGGTGCAAGTTGTAAATCAATAAATTGATCGTTTAAAGGCAAATTGAATGGTTTCACCTACCCAATTAGACTCCGGGAGAGTATTATGGACCATGGTAAACTTTCGGCAATTTTTATTTTCAGGCGAAAAAAAGTCTTAAAATTCAAAAATTGAAGGCTAATGCCTAATATTCATGCTTTTTTTTAGAAATTTTGAAATTATCGGGGCCCGATGTCGAAAAGAAATGAGATTTTAGGAGATACATATCGGGGTCATGTAATGCCGCTTGGAACCATAAATGATCATTATATGTTGTCATAAATGTTCGTGGTAGAATTAAGTTGATGAAATCGGTGCAAGTTTTAAACTGGTAAATTAGCAGTTTAAGGGCAAATTAGATGGTTACACCCACCCAATTGGACTCTCGGAGGATATTAGGACCATAATAATCATTTCGGCAATTTTTATTTACGAGCGAAAAAGTCAAAAAAATTCCAAAATTAAATGCTAATATCCACGCTTTTTGAGAAATTTTGGAGGTTTCGGAACCCAGTGTCGAATGGTCTTGAAATTCTATGGGATACATCTCAGGGTTATTTATATAATTCCGTTTGGAACCATATGTGATCATTACATGTTGTCATAAATGTTCGTGGTGGGCTTGAATTAATTAAATCGGTGCAAGTTGTAAGTCGGTAAATTGGCCGTTTAAAGGAAAATTTAATGGTTCCACCCACCCAATTGGACTCCCTAAGGATATTAGGAACGATGGTAAACATTTCGACAACTTTTATTTTCGGGCGAAAAAAGTCAAAAAATTCCAAAATTGAAGGTTAATATCCACGATTTTGTGAAATTTTGTTGGTTTCAGGGCCCGATGTCGAAAAGACTTGAGATTTTAGGGGATACATCGGAGTCATATAATGCCGTTTCGAACTATATATATGATTATTATACGTTGTCATAAATGTTCGTAGTAGGCTTGAATTAACGAAATCGGTGCAAGTTGTAAATCGGTAAATTGGTCGTTTAAAGGCAAATTGGATGGTTCCACCCAACCAATTGGACTCCCAAAGGGTATTAGGGACCATGGTAAACATTTGAGCAATTTTTATTTTCGGGCAAAAAAAATCAAAAAATTCCAAAGTTGAAGGCTAATTATTCATGTTTTTTTAGAAATTTCGAAGGTTTCGGGGCTGGTGTCGAAAAGAAATGAGATTTCATGGGATACTTCTCGCGGTCATATAATGCCGTTTGGAACCATAAATGATCATTATATGTTGTCATAAATGTTCGTGGTAGGCTTGAGTTAATGAAATCGGTGCAAGTTGTAAACTGGTAAATTGGCCGTTTAAAGACAAATTAATTATTTGATTCCACCCACCCAATTAGAATCCTAGAGGGTATTAGGACCATGGTAAACATTTTGGCGATTTTTATTTTCGGGTGTAAAAAATTCAAAAAATTCCAAAATTGAAATCAATGCTTTTTGAGAAATTTGGGATGTTTCGAGGCCCAGTGTCGAAAAGTTTTGAGATTTAAGGAGATACATCTCGTGGTCATATAATGTCATTTGAAACTATATAGGATCATTATATGTTGTCATAAATGTTCGTAGTAGGATTGAGTTAATTTAATCGGTACAAGTTGTAAACCGGTAAATTGGCCATTTAAAGGCAAATAGGATGGTTCCACCCACCCAATTGGACTCCCGGAGGGTATTAGGTATCATGGTTAACATTTCGGCAATTTTTATTCTCGGGCGAAAAAAATTAAAGAAAATTCCAAAATTGAATGCTAATATCCACACTTTTTGAGAAAAACTTGGAGGTTTTGTGGCTGGTGTCGAAAAGACTTTATATTCTAGGTGATATATCTCGGGGTCATATAATGTCATTTTGAACCATATATGATCATTATATGTTGTCATAAATGTTTGTGGTTGGCTTGAGTTAAATAAATTAACGCAAGTTGTAAACCGGTAAATTGGTCATTTAAAGGCAAATTGGATGGTTCCACCCACCCAATTGGAGTCCCGAAAGGTATTAAAGACCATGGTAAACATTTCGGCAATTTTTATTTTCGGGCGAAAAAAATGTCAAAAAATTCAAAAATTGAAGGCTATATCCACTCTTTTTGAGAATTTTTGAAGTCTTCGGGGCCCGGTGTCGAAAAGTCTTTAAATTGTAGCGAATATATCTCGGGGTCATATAATGTCTTTTGGAATGATATATGATCATTATTTGTTGTCATAAATGTTGTTCGTGGTAGGGTTGAATCAATGAAATCAATGTAAGTTGTAAACCGGTAAATTGGCCGTTTAAAGGCAAATTGGAATGTTCCACTCATCCAATTGGACTCCCGACGGGTATTGGGGACCATGGTAAACATTTCGGCAATTTTATATCCAGGCGAAAAAAACTCAAAAAATTCCAAAATTGAAGGCTAATATCCACACTTTTGAGAAATTTAAGAGGTTTCGGGGTCCGCTGTCGAAAAGTTTTGAAATTCTAGGGGATATATCTCGGGGTCATATAATGTCGTTTGGAACAATATATGATCATTATTTGTTGTTATAAATGTTTGTGGTAGACTTGGGTTAATGAAATTGGTGTAAATAGTAAACTAGTAAATTGGTCTTTTAAAGGCAAATTGGAATGTTCCACCCACCCAATTGGACTCCCGGCGGGTATTAGGGACCATGGTAAACATTTCGGCTATTTTTATTTCCGGGCAAAAATTGTAAAAAAATTCCAAAATTAAAATCCACGCTTTTTGAGAAATTTGGGATGTTTCGAGTCCTGGTGTCGAAAAGTTTTGAGATTTTTGGGATATATCTCGGGGTCATATAATGCCGTTTGGAACCATATATGAACATTATATGTTGTCTTAAATGTTCATAGTAGTCTTGAGTTAATTAAATTTGTGCAAGTTGTAAACTGGTAAATTGGCCTTAAAGGCAAATAGGATGGTTCCACTCACCCAATTGCATGGTCTCCCAGAGGGCAGAGGGTATTAGGGACCATGCTAAACATTTAGGCAATTTTTATTTTCACGCGAAAAAAAAGTTAAAAAATTCCAAAATTGATGGCTAATATCCATGTTTTTTGAGAAATTTCGAAGGTTTCGAGGCTAATGTCGAAAAAAATAAATAAGATTTCAGGGGATACCTCTCGGGATCATATAATGCCGTTTGGAACCATAAATGATCATTTATATGTTATCATAAATGTTCGTGGTAGACTTGAGTTAATGAAAGCGGTACAAGTTGTAAACCGATAAATTGGCCGTTTAAAGGCAAATTAGTTGGTTCCACCCACCAAATTGGATTCCCGGAGGGTATTAGAGACAATGGTAAAAATTTCGGCAATTTTTATATCCAGGTGAAAAAAAAGTAAAAAAATTCTAAAATTGAAGGCTAATAGTATCCAAGCTTTTTGAGAAATTTTGGACGTTTCGGATTATCAGCGCAAAACAATTTATTGTCGACTAACCAGCCAATCTATAGTTCATACACCAAATATCCACAATGATACAAAATCACTGGAGTTAACATATGGTGTTGAGCATGAAATAAACAATATTCATATATTGCACTATCACAAAATCACAGATTTTATACTAAATATCAGAATTAGAATTCTTCTCCTCTTTAGGTGGTGCATATTGTCTGGTAAGCTTTGACTTCGTCCAAGGATCCATGGGAGCTCTCTGCGGTGGTTGTGGAGTTGGAGGTTTTGACTGCCTAAGTTCATTCTCTCTGTCAATAAATCTGTTCAAAATATAACAAACCCAACGTCAGATAAGACGCACATGGAGAGAGGCAGTGGCACTTGACTAAACAGGGGAAATCAGGCTACATTTTCAGTGCAACTCACAAATATTGGGGAACTATGAGCAAAAGAATTTGAAATACTATAGCTCAATCCGTTTCCTACCATAGGGGGAAACTACAACATTCCACAATCCAGTCACCCAAAAAAGAAACAATAATGCAGCTTTAAGTTTATGGCCAGAAGCCCAGAATTATGAATTCCAAGCTAAGTTTTTTTAAGCACAAAAGTTTACAATTTCAAAATTGTCCGTCTGGTACAGCCGTACAGGGCAAGACCGACATCCGGATCACTGGAAACTGATTTCCAAAGACGCTGGAAACTAAATTTAAGACAATAAAAACCAGCAACTACGAAGAAAGATACTACAGCACACCTCATATCTGCTAATAATAACCGACATGACGGACAACAGTTTCAAGAACAGTTCAAAAGAAACAGATCTTACTCAATATACGCCATTGGGGCAGCATCACCCACTCGGATACGTGTCCTAAGCAGCCTCGTGTAACCTCCAGCTCGGTTTCTGCAAGTCATTTCAAAAATCACCCAGCAATACAGATTAATAATCTTATAAAATTCTATCCACCAGCAGCCATTAAACCACAATGTTCAGCAGCCCAGATTTGAGATTTACTTGTATCGATATGCCAATTCAGTAAATAACTTGTGAATAACATCATCGCCCCTGACAAAGGCAGCAGCACGTCTAGCAGCACAAAGGGAGCCCTGAAGTTGAAAAATAAAAATTCAATTTGTAAGTTATCAAAGATTCATTATATGTATCTAAACCAGTTTTAACTTGTCGCCAAATCAAGGCTCTAAAGAGTTTCAGTTAAGGTTCTGCTACCCCTTAGTAACGATAGGTCTATAGCACACTGGTTTCATGATTTGAAGGTTACAAGTTCAGGAAATCTAAAGATGCCAATTCTCAAAAAATCATGTAACCAAACTAAAGCTAGTGCGTTAGCATCTAAAACAGAACTTTTCACAAGAAGGTGACCATCAGAAAAATATCTAAGTTTATGCCTGAGTGGTCTAGCAAGCACCATCATGTAAGAACATAACAGTCGGTCATGACACAGGCTCATGCAAGACTATGGAACATTGAAGAGTATGGTCATGTGAGTGCAATGGAAAATTAGAGATAAAGTAGTAACATTGAAATTCATTTTTATCAGTAGAAGCCAGAAATAAGCCCATCTAGAGTTTCCATCCCACTTTCCTGCATCTCTAAATTCTTGTTCACATTTAGGCTTGCAGTATTACCCATACCTACCCAGCCTAGCTTCCTGTTTTCCACCTTAATGGCTAATTGATCACTGATGATGTTGCATGTTTTAAGGCAAATATGGGAAACAGCGTGCCACTATGTTAATTTCTTATTAATTTTAAGCCATGTAGCATAAAAGGTTAAAAGGATGAGCATCGAGAAACCAAGAATACATTGACCTTTCTTTAAAAAAAGGAATTGGTGAAATACAATCAAACTATCAATCAGTTTAGAAATTATTATAGATCTAACGGTGGCGAATATGTACTAAACTAAGACAAAAAGAAGGGCAAGGATTCCAAAACTCAAAGTAAAGTTCCCCACCTTTTGATCAACAAAGGGAAAGAAGCACACCTAAGAAAGAATAACAACAGAAACTGGAGAACTTGAATCACAATTTGGGTGAGAAACTTGAGGTCACTGAAATTTCTAATAGATAAAGTTAAAATATATATTCTCAACCTTAGTGGAAAAGTTATTTGGTTTAAGTTTCTAATTGAGCTCATATTATCTATCCCAAAGACTTGATTCTGATACGAAGCAGTTCTACAAAAATTAAGTATGGTTATCACACTGACAACAGTCACAACACTATAATGAGGAAACAGTGTAGCAATTTGAGCTGGGATAGCTTATTCCATATATATGGGATATATTACTTAAATTTTCCAGGAAAAGGGAACTGAAACAGTGTTCTTTCAAGAAAAACATTTACTGGATATACTGCTATAAAGCACCCTAAAGATGATTCCAAAGCACCACATAGCAAATATGCAGCAAACAAAGGAAACCCAAGCAGTTAATTACAGTTGTCATGGAATGTAGCATATAACTATATACTTGCTTGCAGAATTGCTAGAAGTTTTTGCAGGATCGCTACAAGTTTATCTTGGCCATTGAGAGCATCAAAAAGTGTGCTTTGTGGTAACATGGACAGGACTTGTAGCATGACCATCAGAAACTGATTCTAAGCCGCGATTTAAAATAGCAAATTGGTATGTGCTAGTGGTTTATTTTTGGCCCAACATAACAAATGTAGGCAGCAAATTGTGTTCCCTCTCGTACCCCGTTATTACAGTAAATTTAATAGGTAGAAGTCCGTAGCACTGGTATATCTCATAAAAGCATTCCTCCTCACTAAAAGGAAAACAAGCACAGTATGCATACATACCTATACTTCATTTCTGAGAGCTAATAATAAGGTATACATGCGTAAGGAAATGCTACCATTAATAATCTCACCTCTCGGGAGGTTGAATCTCATTCCATTAAGGCAGAATACCAACAGATGGTTCTTATCATGAAAATAGGCAGCAGCTATGTTACTCTTAAAGTCAGTCTTTATATACCTCAGGTATCCCATGTCTAACACTTGACATCCCAACATCAGTATGGGCCACTCGACACAAAATGCAATTCTTCGATAAATCTACTGAATCCTACACTTACAGTTACACCCTTTAATCCTCTATATTCTAGTAGAAAATAAACAAGCAAGCTTCAACATGTCCATGTTCTATTCAACCTAAGTTCTTTAGGTATTTTCATCAAAGTAAGGCATTGTTGTACAACAACAAAGTATAATGCCTAAAGGAGAAGCAACTACAATGAACAAAGAAATGAATTCGAAATAGAAGCTTTCCTTCCTAAACATCTTAAATTCAGATATATCCCTTTAGTCTCATCGAATTCTCAACCGGCAATTCCTCAGTAAATAAAATCAGAACAAGCCATCGAAATCGTAAAACCCATCAAAAGTCCAATAAGCCATTATCATTAAACTGCCCACCAAGATAGAGATGCAACCTAAACATCATTCATTAATGACAAAAATCCACATTGACAATGAATACATCAGAGTACTTGGAAATAACTAAATTAAAACTGAGGCGTATTTTCTTAACAAATACTTACATCTTTTCCCAATTGAACCATGTTATCAGCTAATCTTCGAACCTCTTTTGCCTGCAAATAGCGAACCCAAATAGTACTCAATATTATTAAATTAAATTCCCAACTTCAAATTACTCAAAATCAGCTAAACCCCAGATCATAAACCCTAACAAAAAAACCCTTTTTCTGCAAAGATTTAGCGAAAAGTGAGGAAAGAGTAACAAACCTTAGCAACAGTAGTCTCAATTCGCTCGTGTTTCACCAATTGAGAAACCATTGTCCTACCCTCAAAAAAAAAAATTATCAACATTTTTTACGCTTTAATCAATAAAATCAAAATGAAAATTGAATGATGTAAAGGGAAGAACCTGAGCATAGACAAACGGTGACCAGTAGGTCGATTGAGCTTCCTTAATTTCGTCATTTTTGATGATTTTAGGAGAGAGAAACTACGACGCTCAGAGGTAAACGGTGAAACTGAGCAACTGAGGAAGAAGAGAGTGTTTTGGAGGGTATTTGGGTTTTTTTTTTCCGGGTTAATTATTCGTGTTTTCGGGTAAAAGGCCCAAATTACAATTACTGATTTTTAATTGGGTAATTCAATGCTACACGCCTACAAATTACATCAGTGTGTTAGTGATATGATCACAAGTGCAAGTTTTGGTGAAAAAAAAAAAAAAAAAAAAAAAAAAAAAAAAAAAAAGATATTTAAGAATATTAGGTTATCTGGCGGAAACGGAAATTTTACATAAAAATATTAGAACTTTTTTCCCGAAAATATGAGTTAAATTTTGAAAAAATTAGGATAATAAAATGTGATATTTGCATTAGGATTATTAAATATGTTACCGGTGGGATTTGAACTCCCAACTAATTACTTCAAAGAATAATATAAAAAAAAATATTGTAATGATGAATTTTAGTATTATGCATCTAACTCCCCGTAAAATTTGCACGTTAGAAGCAGGGGATCGATCCAGGCACTGGGAGCGCGAAATTTTCTGGGATGTTATATCGTAAGTCAAAAGTTTTCTCTTATTTCTATCAAATGAACATAATCATATAATTGTAAATAAAAAAAAATTAAAAAAAATATATTTTAATTAATCAAATCACTTACTCAATTACAATACATGAAACATGTAACAAACTAATAATCGGAAATTCAAGGCTATAAAACAAATGTAATAGACCAAATGAACACAATCATATAATTGTAAATAAAAAAATTTAAAAAAAAACATATTTTAATTAATCAAATCACTTACACAAATCTGTGCAATACATGACATATTGTTCAACATGAAACAAATCTAATAATCGGAAAATTAAAGGCCTAATTACGACTATAAAACTCTATTAGGCCCTAATTATTTAAAAAAATAAACTTAATCATCCAGGTCAAACGGAGCATTGGGATCAAGCTGTTTGCATAATTCAAAATAAGAAAGTAAAATCAACCTATCCTTAGCACCAGTACGATGAAGTTTAGTATGCTTGCAAAAATATTTCAATTGTTCCAAAGTGCAACATCCCAAAAGTTGTCCTAGTAACAAGAACAACCAATTAATACTTCTCTTCTTCTCCGATATCAATGGCTTACATGCATCTACTTCCCCGCAAAATTTGCACGTCGGAAGCACGGGATCGGTCCAAGCACTGGGAGCACGATTATGCCACTCATCCCTTTGTGTTAGTACAAAATTAAAAATTTGTTGGAACTTTTCTTGAATGTTATATTGTAAGTCAAAAGTTTTCTCGCATTTCTTACATTGTACTGCGTCAGATGTGGTTTCTATCTCATTATCTAGTAAGTACTGCATTGAATGGACCTTGGCTCGATACTTTGTTGCCCAACGGTATGGTGGTGTGATTGTGTGGCTCTTGGCTACCTCTCGGGTTTCAGACCGTGCTTGTGAAGGTGTAGGGTTGCGTCGAACACGCGGTAGGTTGGACGACGATGAAGAGGAGGGGTCGCTAGGAGGGTTGGAAGGTGGGTTATTTGAAGGGGGAGATAAAGAAAGATCAAGAAGAGAATCATCAGCAGAGTTTGAGTTCTTTCTCTTCATTTTGGAGTAATGAAGAATTTACGTTGCTCTGATGAATTTGAGATAGTGTGAAAAAATTAGGGAAGAATATGAAATATCATCTTTTATAGGATTAGTTAGAGATTTAAATCGGTTAGATACTTCATATCTTTTTTAAATCAAAACAGATGCTGTTTTTTATTGTTATCCTAAATTTCTAATTTCAAATTTTAAGAAAATAAAATTAAATTTAGATTTTAAAATTTAAAATTTAATATCTGAAATATTGTAATTTCAAATTCAAAGTACGTACTTTTTTTTAGGAATAAATTCAAAGTGCTTAATTAAATTTTGAATCTGTAAAATTTAATAAATTAAAAAAAAAATATTTTGTAAAATTAAAACTCTATCTACTGTGAGTTCTTATATATCGTTATTCTTAAACTTTTATTTTATTTTTATAATAAATATTTTTTTTAACAATCTAAGATGAGTATTTTGAATGACATAAATAATTTTATTGTTGTGATTATTCAGAGATTATACTAGAAGTGATTTGATTGAGTAGAGTTCTGAAGTTTGTTGGAGGACAAAGTATGAAATATACTTTTTAAGGTTTTTATACGATAATAGTACAAAATAGAGATTTGGGTAATTTTTTACCAAAATTTATGCAAACTGTTAGTAATATCGGTTTATAACAAAACATTTTTATAAAAAAAAAATCTGTGTCATTATCCCGTAATTTTAATTTCAAAAGTTTAAACACATCATTAAATTCAAATTTAAATATTTAAAATTTCATAAAACATCTATCCTGTGTTAAAAACAAACTTATATTTTGTCTTTTTTAAATAAAAAGGTAAACAGATTAAAAGAAGTTTTCTTTCAACGCAAATTTAGGTTATGAATATTTGGCTTCAACAAAAAAAAAAAAGGGTTATGAATATTTTAATGAAAAGCGTTTGCAATCAGATTACAAAAAGTTATGCATCTTTGAACGAAATAATTGATTCAAAGCATTTCAATGACAATCTCTTGCTTATTAATTAATACACTGTAAAGATACATCCACTTCTGCTCAAAATTGTTGACCATATTATTCTTGATAATATGTATAAAAACTCCCAAATAAAACATTCAACATACACAGAACAGGTCAATAGTACAATACATCTTCCTTACAACACGATTCATCAAGATACTCTCTAATAGCCATTGCAGCCATATTCATAAAAATGGTCAGGCAGCAACTTTCTTCGCTGTTACAGAATTAATGATGGTGGCGAACTCAGGACCCTACACAGTCAAAAGTTGCAGATCAGAATCCAATATAAATACAATGCCAAATAACACCTTGAAAGAGGAAACCTTCATCAAAACATTTCCAAAGAATTACGGGGTTAAAGCTAATGTTGCAACTTATTAAGAACGTAGTAAAGAGCTGCCTTATAGGATGTTTGTTACAGCCTCTGACCCAAAACAAGCTACAGGCCTGGAAGAGTGATTGCTAAGCTATTTTTTTAATAGTTGTGGTTAGTAGACGTGGTTGGCGATAGCGAGTGATTGAAGAGAAAAAGAAGAACAAAAGGTATGTGATTTTATAGAGGGGAGAATGGAAAAAAAAAAATGTGATTGGAGCCTTGGACGGAGTACTCCCAAGGCCAAGCCATAATAGACTAATTTGAGACAACCTAACCATGAAAGTGTGTATACTCATTGGGGTAGAAAGGTCTACTACTCAACTTAAGCATGTTATGGATACATAGGTGGCTGGTTAACGCCAGGGTGGTATAATTTGTGCAGGTTAAGATGTACATACTCTTATTCCAAAGGCCCAAGCCAATTCAAAACTAATGTACAACAAATTATATTACTGTACATAATGGTCATAATCTATAGACTCATCATTTATCTAGTGTATTTCTAATCCTCCACTAGCTAATCTCCAGCTGATCCAACAAGAGAGCAGCTTGATTTCCTTAATAATGATGATAAAAAAATTCTTGGAAAATGGTGGATCATACAACGGGAGAGGGGAAGAGAGGGATGGAAGCAATGCTGTTACCTTCAAAGAAGCTCCTCCCACAAGAAAGCCGTCTATATCTTCTTTTTTTGCAAGCTCTGCACAGTTGCCTCCGTTAACAGACCCTGTAAGTGCATAAGTGAATGTCAGCAAATTCAGTTGCATTTCATAAATTATCTTAATCATCAAATTCATTTTAAGCTGCAGGTCAATCTTATCGCCAACTAGCTGTTACACTAAATTACGCTGAGCCATACAGAAAATAGTGATCAGATCATCAAATTATTAACAAGTTTATTGTGGACAATACGCAGGATCTTAAGTTGACATTTAACTTCAGACAAATTACTTTAAGCAATAAAGTGGGCCTAAATCGATGCCCAAACTTTTGCCACCCCCCCCCCCCCCCAAAAAAAATAAAAATCTCCCCTTTGTCTCATATGAAGCTGTAGATGAAGATAGCTGCCAAACAATTCCCCATTCTAGATATGGGCTGTCTTTTTAGATCATGTGATTACAGGATAAATGTGCCACAAGACCTCACATTTGATCCCTAGACTGCATCAGACACACAAGGACAATCAATTTGAACATAGTTCTAGGCAGAGAGAAACTGGCAGTTTTAATACCTCCATAAATGATGCGTGTCTTAGAAGCAACTTCCTCAGAAACATTCTTTTTAAGCCAATCTCGAACAGCAACATGCACTTCCTGAGCCTGTTCTGGGCTAGCTACTTTACCAGTGCCAATAGCCCATACAGGTTCATAAGCAACAACAACATTATCCCAGCTAGGTAAGGCATCTGCACATGTGAAAAACACCATGTATTTGCGAAGTTATTAACATCCTCTAACATCAAAACTCACATATATAATAGATAGCTTGCCTGCAAAAGCCTTCATTTGCTGGTAGCATACATCAAAGGTTTTTCCTGCTTCTCTTTCTTCCAACAGTTCCCCAATACATGCTATCACTCCAACACCTTGGCTCAGAGCATATGCAGCCTTTTTACCTATAAACTGGATGCAATTGATCTTTACTACAGAGTATGGTAATAGATCTTTATAAAGTACCATAATAGTATTCTGGTATTACTATTACATGTCCAGTACAAAGTTTACCTCGTCTTTTTCCCCAATAACGTGCCTTCTCTCAGAATGCCCAAGAATAACCCACTGGCAGCCAAGATCCTTCAATTGTTCAACACTGACAGACAGAAATATCTAGGTAAAATAAAAAAAACTGTCTAAAAGAGAATAACACAGAATCCTCAACAAAATCAAAGCAAAGGACACATGATGTTAAAAAAACAGGTGAATTGAAACCCCATATACAGGGTCACTTGAGTAGATGAATCGGAGACAAATCATCTCCAAAGAACTTAAACAAACAAATGACATAGTATAAGATATATTAGATGATAAATCACTTTCTTTTTTTTTTCTTTTTTTTTTTTTAATTCATGACAATTTATGCCCCTCTAAAGCAGGGTTGTATTTTGTTGATCATCATAAGCCCAATTAGAAAATTTCTTTTTGTGCATAAAATTCATGATAACAGGACATATTCAATGACCTGAATTGATTAAATATACAATTTTCACATGCATAAAATTTGTGTTTGTCATGATGTTAACATAACTAAAGCAAATAGGAAAGCTTAAAAAACAAATATAAACAGCCATATATTTCCACATTCAGCTATTTTGACAACGGTATCCCTTACAAGAGTCCCAAAGGTAAGTTTCAACTTGAGGCAAACTTGGACTAAATCAAACATCCCACAATTTGTCCTCCACTTTTAATTAAACATGTAGCAGATCAGAATAAAGGGTCTAATAAAAGCAATATACTTGCAACTGAAGAGGAAGGCTAAACCGCTAAAGAGCCTCTACAAAATTGTATCGAGACCCCCTACCCTATCTGGGGGTATTTTTTTTTTTTAAAATGCTATTGTGTATACGTAAAAAAAAATAATAAAATAAAATAAAAAACACTCATCAGAAAAAAGGGACAAGATTTTGGCATACCTAGCCAATTGCAAACTACTGTAGTACTGTGTACCTTTATAAGTCACAAACCTCAACCTTAAAATTCAAGAGAGCATTGAATACAAATCTTAGTAGAAATGTAGAATAGGTGGTTTAATTTCCATTCACAAATCAATCTTGGAAAACCAACCTACTTTAAAGCTTGCTTAATGAGAATATCACTCACATAATGAACCAATAGAACCACACGATCAAACAACATTTTAATGTAGCAGAAGAACATTCTAGAGATGTATGGACCCTAGGGAATAAGAGGCAATATTACCCTCAGGCCTCAACCAATCAACACAAGACAAGGTACTTTAGTTGCCAAATAATTGACAGAATGCTGGATGGCAACATGCTTGGATGGTTGGATGTGATGTAGATTATACCACCTAAGGCCTCAACCAATCAACACAAGACATGGTACTTTAGCTGCCACATAATGTTTGGATATGATGTAAAAAATACCATCTAACTGTTGTTATAAGGTGAATGATTTCCAAGAAAATTTGAAATAACAAAAAATCGAAAATGGTAGAAATGGATGCAAAGACTCAAAAGAAATAGGGTACAACAAGAAGTGAATAATAGCTCACCTGATTTCTCCTGTAAAAGCTCCACCTTTGCTAATCCAACAATTTTGTGCTGATACTTCTATTCGGCTAGTCAGGGAATTTTTAACTTGATCAATGTAAACAAATGGAGGTGCCACAACAACATCTGCAATATTACCAAGGAGTTCACAGATGGAAAATGAATATATCACGTGTTATTGAAAGCCTTGTGAAGTTAGATTTATGCAACAAATCTTATGAGCACGTGTTATTGAAACCCTTGTGAAGTTCGATTTATGCAACAAATCTTATGAGCACGTACGCGTGCGCATGGACAAGCGCGCTCGCACATACATACAGCCATGCCCCCATTAGACACTCCTACACTACGTTTTAAATACCAAACAACAAGCATGTAAGGGCTGTAACCATAATGAGGCCAGAATAGAAACCAGCTACAGCAAGTTGAAGTAATGAAGTAATGAACTAACGACAACTCTAGATAC